AATTTGGGTGGGTTTTAATGGATTTGGATTTAGACTTATGTTAAGCATGTAGGGCTAAACTTGGGTCAAACTTGGGATAGCCATGGGCTAAGCTCAAATTAATTGTTGTTTTTGGTGTAAAACATCATAATGAACAATTTTCATGAAGGATGAAAATTGTTTTGAAGTTGACTTGATGATCAGTTTGAATGGGTTTTGATGTGTTTTGGTTTTAGACCCAAACTAGGCATATAGATCTAATTTGGGTGAAACTTGAGCTAGCTTTAGACTAAGCTCAAATTAATTATTGTGTTCGGTCACAAATGACCTCACAAATAATTTTCAACAAAAATTGGATGCCAATTTGAGGTTTAGGGCATTCAATTGTTGAGATTTGAGGTGTTAGCCAATATTGGGGCTAATTGGGGGTTTTGGTCAAAGGTGGTCAAATTGACCAAATTAGATCATAGTATAGTGGGACAAAATGAAATTGGGACTATTTTGGATTTATTGGGATTTTGTGGGAATTTTTGGAATTTTTGGATTTTTGGGCCATGGAGGGGTATTTTGATAATTTGGCCATTTTTTGGAAATTTTTGTTAGTTTTGGAAAATGTGGATACATTCAAAGTGTTTGGAACAAGTTTTTATCAATTTTGGGTATTTTTGAAAAAAATTGAGAATTTTGGCCAAATTTGGGTCCCAATGGCAGTTATGTAATTTGAAGGTGCCTAGGGGCAAAAGACGAAGTTGGGCATTTCAAGTAGAATTGAATAGAGAACCATTTTAAATGAGTCATAGACCAATGAAATCCCATTTTGGGTCCTCATATATTGGTCTTAGCCAAGGTATTTTGAGGGTATTGTGAAGATATAGTGAGGGTATAGTGTACCTTAGCTCCAAATCAACACCCAGGGTCAATCCTAAGGCCAATTAGTCCTATAGGAACTCTCCTTGAGTTCCCTCATAATGATCTTACCTACTAAGTGCTAGAGGTTAAGACCAATATGTGGAATTTCAAGTTGAGTAAAGAGAAGAGTTTTGAGTTTCTAATGGTGCGGGTACCTTTTCTAGTTTTCTAAGACTAATCAATAGGAAAGTCCTATGGCTAGACCTAGGCTACTAAAGAAGTTTCTAGACCTCAACCAAGAGTGAGGTCAACAAACATGCTTGTTAATTCACCCATCCCAAAACATTTAAAGCCATTCTCAAAGTGACATTCATGCCACTCTAGAAGCTTCTTTCAAGAAAGCCTCCACTCTTTATCCAACCTCTCCTACACTTGTTACTCTCCAATTGGTTTAATTCAAACTTCCTTAATTGAAATTTAACATCCATAACAACCTGAGAGTGAATTGAACCAAGCCTAAACCACCTTGAATCTTCTATGACAAGCTACTCATTTTTCAAAGACCATATGGATCATTCCAATTGGTAGCCTACCAACGTTCACCTGCATGTGGCATCTTCCATCTGGCTTCAAGAATTTGAGCATCCAACTCATCAATCCAAATCAAACCTTTTGAGCCAATGATTGAGCTAGCCCTACCCATTAGCAAAATTATAAATAAGGGGAAATTTTTGGCCAAACCATGCATATCTCATTCTCATAGGTGAAGCTCTGCTATTTTATTCTTTGACAACCCCTTAGCAGCTTAAGATCAATTCAACACCAATTTCATTGCTCAAACCCCACGACAACCATTAAACTTCATTAACACAAACATAGAATCCAATTGATCCTTACTGCTCTTAGCTTGAATCTCAAATCCAACTATTTTATTACCTTTTTTAAGCTCAATAACCACTTCCCCAATTGATTCCTCTGAGGATTGGGCTGTCTAAACTGAATATCAATCGAGGTGTGGTCAGTTTTGATTGAGTTCTTATAAGGAGGATTTGGATCTCTCAAATGAATTTGTTGGACTCTGGATTAGATCTCTAAAAAAATGTATGAAGGATTGGATAAAGAAGATAACCATTGGACTGAGGTATGATGTCGAAACCCTGGCTTTAGCATTGGTGATGGAGGTATGTGAAACGATCCTCCATGCATTTTGATCTTAGCCATTGAATTGATAGAACTCAACAAGATGAACAAGTAGGATTTTGAATTTTTTAGTTCGGTCGAGAATATAGGGCGATAAAAGGGTTTTCGTGCAGATTGTCATTGATTTATCGTCCCTTTGGGATAATGAACTGATGACATCTATTTTGTTTTAAGTGAAACAGACGATTGAGATTAATTACCCACAGTGTGGCACTATTCAGGACCTCATAAAGGATTGGAAGGAGGGGAGCTCATGCAGAACCTGGATTAACCACTGCATGGTAAACCAAATTCTGCCTCATGGAAAGTGATGCTGACAAAGCGATTGGGGTGGCGGCCACATGGGACGACACTATTAATAAGAAAATAGAATTTTCCAAAATTAATAATTTTTTTTAAAGATAATCGGTTCACTTTCACCTTGGACCTCATTACCGCGTAAAGACTACTTTGAAGGTATTAAGGAGGAGCTAAGCAAAGATAGAGTTGTATGTTGTTGGTGAATCAACAATGAAGAAGCCAATCATGATAGTAAATTGTTTATCACCTTTGCCTCAAGAGATGGGTAGAGTTAGGACTCTTAACTTTCTTTTCTTTCTCCTGCAAAGCAATATAGTAGGTTAGACGTGGCTGAGAGACTTGTGGTCCCTAAGTTCCAACTTTTAAAATACATTTTTGATTATGGTTACATCAAACTTTCAATATCTACGACGATGCTCCGAAGTGCAAAGCAGACAAAAAAATTCTAGAAAGGAGCAAGAAAGTGATTTCCCAAATAAAATTATAACGATGGTCCAAGTGCAAAGTAGACAAAAAACATGAATATATCCTAAATAGTAAATTAAAATAAAAAATAACACTTTTCTTAAGATGCGCTTCATTGTATTTCATTTTTAAGCAAAAAAAGAAGCCAAATTTCTCAAAATTATCGCACACGGTAAGACTGAAACCAACTTCCCTCTTTGAGTCACTTTGTCTCTCCACATATTTCTTGCAAAAGCCCTATAAAAACATTTGTATTTTTGGGGATGATGGTGGAGATGGAGGTGGCTGAAATGATGGGATCCGTTGCAGATGGCATTAGAGGAGGGGACTGAGACTGGCAACGACGGGTGATGAGGTAGGCAGCAGTATGCTTTAGGCTTCGTTTGAGATTACGTTCGCCTTCCATTCTACTATACTCAACACCTTTGCCAGATAAGGAGACGTTTGACGACCGAATTTTTGAGAACTTTTTTGGACTTAGAAGAGTAAAAATGTGAAAATATTGTTGTATCACGATGGAGTGGAGGAGTCTTGTTATGAAACAAGACTTTTAAAAAAATGCATAGAATGACAAAGTTCCTTCAAATGGAGCCTCATGATAGTTTAAATGAGTGTTAATTTTTATGTTAAGCTAATTTTTAAGGGCTAAATATATAAATAATAATAATATTTCCCGGAAAGTCCGATCAGCTGGCCCCAGCCACAAACTCCGCGGTACCGATGGGTGGTCCAAGCGTTTCTCCACCAGAAAATTTCAATCTACTGTCGGGGCGATGTCTTTGAGGTTTACTTCGACTTTGAGCTATTCGATCCGTTCGTTTGCCTTGGGTACAGTCAGGCATTCGGCGTCCTACCGATGGCGGAGCTATCTATCATGGCTTCCGCCGTTTTTTCTCTAGCTCCGTTCTATCAGGAGCAGACCGCCTGTCGATCTTCAAAGGTGAGCCATTTAGCCTGTATTAGCATCAACATCGATGTATGGTGCGATGGGTTCCAATCTTTGCTTGATATATTCGGAGTAGGTGTGATTATTACTGGAGGAAAATATGTTTCTAGTTGATTTTGTTTTTAATTGCGTAAGTTTAAGGTTCCATTTAAAAGGTTTGGAAGATGTGTTTGGCTTGGAAAATGCTTACTTGATTGTTGATGGCATTTCTATCCACATTTTCTCAAAAAATATTTTGATGGACTGCCTCCTGGAGGTATTTTTTTTTCTCTCTTGTTGTTTTTGCCATTTGCAGGTGGATGAGCTTGTTGAGTTTGATGTTGTTCTTCCTTGCGTGAATTAGATGTTATTATTATTATTATTTACCTTTTGCTCTTGTAAGATCCTAATTTAGAATATTTAATGCAGAGTGAATGATTGGTTCTTTGATCATGATGTAACTCCAGGGATTGGGTACCTAGTTTGTGCTAGGGGAGAGAAAAAACTGGTGCACAACTCAAATAGATGTAGAATGCAAATGGCAACGCTAAGAGAGGAAGAAGAGAGAAGTCAAGCAATCGTACTTCGATTTTAATAATCTTCAAGTATCCTTGGCACTCTTTATATAAAGAAAAGTTATATTATACAAGAAGCATTGCATAAACGTAAGGTAAATGATAAAATATAAAAAAATAACATGCCTCTAAGCCAAATACAAATGTCATAAATTGTGAACTTAGAGTTGAACATAAAATAAACATAAGTTGGCCCATTAGTATTTTGCATCATTCACTTTGTCATAAAGAACTCTTCTTCTCAGAATAATATAATCATTGTGTTGCTAGAATCATGGGAGAGGAACCAGCACGAATAGCTCAGCCAAAATTCATTGGTAACTTGGTGATTGACTCGAGCATCACAACATACTTGGCTATGGCATTGGATCTTATACGAAGCATGCTTTCAATTAACTTCTAGCAATGTACAAATTCAACTTTATATGCTCAAAATCTTCCTCAAAATTCAAATTATTATTACAGGCTGGTCTACCATCAAATAAAATAGAGACAAAGTTTTGGCAAATACAGTGGCATGGAGATTTTTGGTTGACTTTTGATCTTGGAGTGGCTACTAGAGTAAGTAGAGGTCATGTGACTAGGGAAAGCTTGTGGGGCGGATGAGTGGTTAGCACGATTTGTGCTATAAAATCATCAAGCATACAAATCATTACATCAAATTTCAAACCACTTTTTATAGATGATTTGCTCTTAGGGTTGATGGACATGTGAGAATGATATAATTTGTGATGATGTCTAAATTCTGTTAAGTACTTTAACGTGGTTGGGTATATTTGGATATAGGATTCCTATTGTTTTGGGCAGGGCAATATCTTTCAACATAGCGACTATTATAATTTGATGTAGGATGTTGATATGTGCTAAAATATCACTTTTGGGGATACGATTTAGTTCAATATTACGCCATATATGACATTGTAGGCATTGAAGTTGGCATAATTCCATGGTGGAGTAGGGGGGGTCGCATCCATAATATGAATAATAAGCTTGATAATAAGGATCATGAGAGTCATAATACAAAGAGAAATTAGCTGAGTGACTGTTGATGATTGATTATGAACTTGATGGAATGTGTTTAAAAGCCTAGAGAGAGAGGAAATGAGAGGAAGAAAGGGCACACAACCCAAAGAGGGGGAGGATAATGGGTATACAATTGAGGGGGATAGAGAGAAAATGAGTGCACAATCCATAGAGAGAGAGAGAGAAGAGTCAAGCAATATGGTTTGATTTAAAAAGTTTTCGATTAATCCATATGCTTCCAAGCGGCCTTTTATATAGAGATGGTCCATTTTTGTTAAAGGCTATAACCTGATATGAGACTACAAGAAAAGAGAACATGACAAACATAGACTAAATGAGACAAACGTACATGATTAATGACTCTAGCTGAAATATATATGACATAAATCATGAACATATCAAATGTAAACCAAAAAAGTCGATCCATCAATGTTTTGCATTAGCATTACTTTAAATTGTGCTTTCAGGTTGAATATCTACTAAGCTCAAGGCTCAAAAATAATTTTAAGTTGTTGATTGTTTGCTAAATGGAAAATGTGGAAAGAAAACTATAAGAATAGCAGAGTGTTATGATAGGTACAAAATAGTGAAAAAAAAGTTTATTTAAATTGCCTTCTTGCAAATTTCATTATTGGAACCAACTGTTATTTTGAGTTTCCAGCTCCTTAAACTCATATAAATAGGAGATAGGATGCTCGGGGAGCCAATTGTTGTTGAGAAAATAAGAGAAAAGTGACGAAGCAAGAGAGAAAATAGGCTTCTTTAAAGAACACATGAGTATAGATCTTTTAATATTGTTTATATTTTTTTATTTATGTTCTCTCTTGTTTGATTATTTTAACTTTGCACATCATTAGGAGTTATTTCATTTTTTTTCCTTGAGTGATTTGGTGTTTTCCTTGTGATGAGATTTAACTTACTTGGATTTGGGAAATAGGATTTTCTTTTGCTCATTTTGTTTTTAATCCTTTGTCGTTTATTTGTGATGGATGAGATCTTCTCTTTTCCTGTGGATGTGGTTATTGTTTTGACAAAATCATAATTTCTTTTTGTAATGCCAATTCTCTTTATTTTTCATTTTTTTCACTCCTGGTGTGCTCTTCTGCATAAAAACATATGTATATATGGACTGCCGTCAGTTTGATTTCATATTTTTCTAAAATTATATATATATATATATGTATATTAACATAGAGAACTTTCTACATAGGGAGTTTTTTGATTTAGCGGAGACATGAGAATCACACATGGTTATTTAAGTTTTAGATGGGACTAAAATCATGAAGGTTTTGTTTTCTGAATTGCTATTTGGGGAGCTTAATACTAGTGTTTAGAGAATAGTAATGATATTGGAACTTGACATTTTTTATCTTCAGATTGAATTCTTTATCTCTATATCATGTGCAATTTAGAAAAAGTGTGATCCTTAGCAGGGCAACTGATAATGCCAAAATTATCATCAAGTGTGAACTTGAAGAGTTATCATTTGTTCATTTCTTTTCCGTAGTATTTTCTCTAGTTTTTTTCTCCGTGATTTGTTTTACACAATTTTTATGTATATGGTTCTTGCAATATTGGGATTTTAGAGCGAACCTCTGTTTGTGCATCTGATGTAATTAGATGGTAGATTTTTTATCTGATGTTACAAAGCTTTATTCCTAAATGAAAAGTGAAGAATGATGTGGAACTAACATTCGATGAGTTGTGATACAATTATGTTGGGGGTGCTGTCCCTTATTTCCAACCTACCATTATTCTGGGATGCGCCTGTTTTTGGTTTCCATGACATCAAATGGCACTTTGCATCTCAAAAAATCAACAATTTGATTAAGTTATATTGGTTGAATGTTTGTTTGTTAACAAGACATTTTTGCTGTATAAGCTGCACAAATAGCAAGTGGATGTTTAAGATTATGATCCAATTTAACTGAATGTCATGATGTTGAACCATAAAAGAGAATCATATTATCCTTTTCAGTTAAAGTGAAAATATTTCTTTTTGCTGCGCAAACAGGAAGTTGGGTCTTGTACTTTTTCCAGTTTTACTCCCTAAGAAGTGATTTCAATATAGAAAACAGAACAAATTAAACTAATTGCTGTTCAAAAGACTGTTGACTACAAAAATGGGTGCAACTAGGAGTTATTTTTTGAAGGCTTGATGTTTTTTGTCCTTTGAAAGAGCATTTGTTATTGATTTATGAATTTGTATTGTGGAACACTTTTGTGCTGTTATGGGGCTTGTGTTTTCCGTCGTGGGTTCACTTTCACCTTGG